TTTTTTTTTTCCTTATGTATTTCTCTTACTTCATCTGGCTTGAGGAATAAATGTGGAATTGAGAATAAAATGGGTTAATTTCTCAGTCAAACTACCAACACAATCTACCTCAATTTTCTAATATTCAAAATGGGGATAATATGACCTATCCCACAATAGTGTATAAAAACAGAAAAAAAGTTTATTTGTAAAAATAACAAAAAAATAGTATTTCAGTGTAAAATAATGAGATAATAGTATTATGTTACAATGTCTTCATTTTTATCTCCCTGTTTAAATGGTATCTCTCTTTAAAAACATACACAGATGGTTCACAAGCACCAGCCAGACCCCCCAAACCACGACCCCGCAGGACTGCACCAGAAATTCACCACAGAAAACCTCATGGGCCTGAGGCAGCATTGGAAAATGTTGATGCAAAAATTGCAAAACTCATGGGAGAGGGTTATGCCTTTGAAGAGGTGAAGAGAGCCTTAGAGATAGCCCAGAATAACGTCGAAGTGGCCCGTAGCATCCTCCGAGAATTCGCGTTCCCTCCTCCAGTCTCCCCACGTCTAAATCTATAGCAGTCAGAACTGTAAACACCAAAATGTAAAGCAGTTGACACATATTCTCCAAGAGTGTGGAAATGAGAGGATTGAGATGGAATTCAAGAAAGAAGGTGTCTCCTCCTCATGCAGCATCTTGAGAAGAGGCTTGGGCGTGCCGCTGACCAGCGGACCCTCGCTTGCTCAGGACGTCGACGGCTGCGGCTTCCTCGGTTTTGCTAGCCATACTTTTAAATCAGGGTTGAACTGAAAACAAAGTAATTTGAAGACGTTTACTTCCCTTGAACTTTGAATCTGTGAAATGCTTTTCCTTGTTTACAAGTTGGTGAAGTTGCAGTTTGTTTTTGTTTTTAGTTTTGGTGGTTTTCGTTTTCATTTTTGATACCTGTACTGTGTTCTTGACGGACCCTTTGTAGCGTGGTCAGGTCTGCTGTAACATTTCCCACCAACTCCCGTGCTGTCCACATCAACAGCCACATCACTTATTTGTTTCGATCTCTACCATCCATGCCCACCCTACCCCCAGGTCCAGTTCCATTTCTCCCATTCACAAGATGTTTTAAAGGTTTTGACTTTCAACGTATCAAACTTAAGCAAAAAAAAAAAAAAAAAAAAAGTGTGCAG